GGTACTGGGAGTTTTACTTAAGATTTACTCAGAGTTTGTTTTCTGGGTTGGACCACTGAAGAATTTTGAAATTGAAGCTAGGCAAAATATGGAATTAAAAAAAAATAATAAAAGGCGGCACAGGAAGAGGGAAAGGGGAGATGATACAATTTTGTGTAGGATGTATATATGAGGAAAAGAGTTGAAAATATGATCTATGTTGTGATGAAAACTGAGGAGGTTGAACCCTCAGGGACAGCTTATGTCTTGCACAAGTTCCCGTGAATTACAACAACTTCCCAGCACATTGCGTGAGTGGTAGAACCTGACATTTTTTGCTGTACAGAGAAACTGTTTGCACAGTCTGAGGTAGAAAGCTAACAAGGTGGTTTTGATCTGCAGGCAAGATACTTTTCAGGTGAAGAGAAGATTTAGAGAAAAAGCAGAATTCAGCATGCTGTTATTGTAAGGCTAACATGTCTTACGAGACTGTAAGAGGGGCTAGCGCACAGTGACATACTTGTCAAAGAAAGCAAAAGAAATCTTGTTTGTCATGTGGCATGAGTCAAACTGCAGCATTTCAGGATTCTAGCCCACATATAATGAAAAGGTAAGGAGAGCACTATTCTTCTGTTTAATAAGCAATTTCATCCAGTGTCACACCTTGTTTGGTATCCCAGTTGGGCAGGGTGTCAGGGAAGTTGCTGAGAAATACAGGGCTTAGGAAATTTGCTAGCTAGCTCAAAGTTACTTCTAAAAAGACACAACACTGCTATTGCTAGATCCAACTGATTACTGACAAAAGTGAATCCATTTCTGGAAACACAAGTGTGTCCAGAAGAACTGAAACTGATGTCAGTTATTTAGTAATTTATTGAGGGGAATGTTGGTCTTTATCTAGTCTCATTAAGGTTTCACTCACTCATTTGCAGTGCTAAATTGTTCAAACACCGAAGTATGGAAAAAAATCTGACTGATCATATTTGTTGAGACACTTCATTTCAGCCTATAAGAAACAATCTGAGTTCCTCTTTAGTGGGTGCATTAAAAAATGAACTGATGAGAGTTTAACTTAGTGTAAGGGATATATAAAGATTTTTTTTTCGTCATTTTATAATTATTGTTCTTTGGATCTGAAACATGGGTGCAGTCCCACTAAAAGATGCATCTATAAAGCAAATGGTGGTCTTGGATGTGGAGATGTAATGTACATAGACCGTTAAGGTACATTAACATTAAAAAACAAAGAAAATCAACAAGATTAACCAAACAAATTGTTCAGATCTGAGTTTTGACGGTCAGTGCATGTGAAAATAAATGCCTGATCTGCTGTTTGGCTGATACGACTTTCCAAAGAAAGAAGTAGAAAGCCTACAAATGCATCTAGATTGTGCACAGACACTTACTATCCCATCCCTTGGGCATGTTAAGTTAAAAAGTACTGCTTGATGATTCCTGTAAGGACGTAGTTCCCTTTTAGGCTGAGGGACGCAGGCAGTTAGGAATGGTTAATCATGGGAAAATGGTTTCATCAGCAGCATCGTGAGTAGCATTGTGTCAGGCAGTCTCAAACATGTCAGTGCAAAAATATAGGAAAATTAAGGTTGGAAGGGCCTTTTGAAGGTCATTATTCTAATCCTTTTGTTCAAATCATAGCTAGGATCAAACTTAGATCAGGACAGTTATTCTGATAGTTCTATTGGGCAAATAATACAAGGAGAACATGGAATGAGAATTCTAATAAAATTCCACCATTTCATTTAACCCATTTCTGGGATTAACACTGAGTGAAGGGCATTTTGAACAGGGGACAGTGAACTAACCTGTCATGTTTTAAACTGCAAAATGATACTTTAGAGACATTCGAGCACTTGTGAGAAAGGGGAAGCTTGTCAAAGACTGCCTGGACACAGTACTTTGAGAAAGTGGATTTAGTGGAACAACTTTTTTTTAATTAATATGCTATAAAAAGTTTGAGATGCTTTAAATATTGCTACCATGCTACATGGCCAATATGTTACTAGAATAACACTCCTAAGAGTTTCTTCATGGTGTGGTGAAAATCATTTGGCTATCAGTGTTTAGCAGCTGGAAGTGAAGCTGCTCAGATTACAAGCCGAAGAAGTGGTAGAAAATGAGTACTGCTATCATGTGTCATAAAAACAAATTTTCTGCTGAAAGCAAGAAATATATGAGCCTTCATGTGGCATTTCATTTTTAAATTGGTCTCATGATTTTCTGTTAAAGGATGTACTATTATGAGGCAATTTCAGCTATTCTACCTGGAGCTCACCCTAACATAATCTGTGAAAACAGTTTTGCTGTGTTTCTGGGCTGCAAAGATGCCTTGATTAGCTGGAGAAAACAATTCTTTCAAAGCTTGTATCTTACTCTATTTTGTTGGATATTTCCTCATTTTGGCAAGCTGCTAGACAGTACTGATTTTTTTCTGTTGTGCTTACAGAAGATGACTGTTCTCAGATAACATAGAAAGGCTAACAATTTTCAAAATTTAAGTTCTATTTAAATGTCTGGTTTTATATGCTTTAGAGTTGTCTTCTTGATATCTGTATAAACTTGTCTAGAAGATAGTATTGATATGATGATAAACAATAACCTAGCAAACCTCCTGAACTATAGATTCAGCCTAACATTGTTCAAAACCTGAATCAGAGAAGTAGAACTTGGATAAAGTTTGTGACTGGATCTGTGATTTGTCATGGGGGGGGACCCCTAGTAATTTGATCAGCTGATACTCGGCAGCACTGTCTAGCAAGAGCCCTAGCCATGTTTTCCCTACTATGATGTAGTCCGTTTTTTCACTCAGTAACAGACCTCAAAACGTGTTGAAAACCAGCACTCTGTATCAGGATATATTGCATATATAGTAAACATTTTGCTATACCAACGTGAAGTACATCCAGCTAATACAGAGGGAAACCAAGGCAGCGGAGCTGTAGCAATGGTTTCAGTAATATTGTGGTCGGATGCCACACAGCATGGTTAATACGTAGCAACTCAGAAGCCAGGAAAACAGCCATCATGAAAAAAGTGGTCACGCATTTGCTGTGTAGGGGAAGAACAGATATTAAAGAGGTGCCATTCAATACCATCAAGGACTAAATGCTTCCCACACAGATAGGCTTAACAAGACACAAAGCTACCAAGAAATAATGGCATATTTAAATCCTACTTGACTCTTAATTGTTTAAGCACAGACTAGGACATACAGCAAACGGAGACACAAAGCTCTGCCAGACAGAGAACAACCTATGGTTTAAGGATTACAAGGTAATTGCATCACATGAGGATTTCTATGATTGTGGAGCATCTGGAGTAAATGAAGGAAGAATGACACAGTGACCTTTGGAACAAAGTCTGCTAAATGCTAGAGCACAGAGTGGCATTGAAGAAAAAAAAAGCTAATTACTATTTTTGTGATTTGAATGTAAACTAATCCCCAATTTTCAAAAGATAAGGACATTTTTGACAGTAGTTTAAGTATAGACAGCCAAGCTATCCTCCTTTTTACACTGTAGCAGGGTGAAACAGACTTGAGAAGAGGGATCTTAGACCTCCATGTAACTTGGTTTCTTTCATTCTCCCTCTGCAGCACACTGCAGTTTAATTGAACTCTTAAACTTCAGAACTAGTCTGTTCCTCTGTCTCAAAGAGGCTGTAAAAGAACTGAATGAAGGGAGAAAGGCAACAGGGATGATGACAAGTGTAGAATGGTTTCTATATAAGGATTGATCCTGTATGCAAGAACTCTTCAGTCTGGAAATAAGAAATGACTGACAGATGTAGTGTTTAGTCAAATAAGGACTATGGAAAGGATGAACAGGGAGCAACTATTCACTGTTTCTTCCAACATAAAAACTGTGGGGAGCCAGATGAAGCTAACAGGAGACCAGCAAACAAATGGAGGTGGTTCTTCACACAGCATGTATCACAACTGCAGTGCTAGAAGTTTACATGAGTTCAAGGATAGACTTAGGAAGCCTGCAGAGTAAATGTCCGCAAAGCTTTATTAAACACACAAACCCATACCTGGCTCAGGAAACTCCTCAGCTGTAATTGGCTAAATGCCAGAGAATATGTGGGGCAAGTATAGTCACACATGGCTTGTTCTTATATTCTTCCCTAGGCACCTGCTTTTGGCTGCCATCAGAGACAAGATACTGGGCTAAAAGTACTTCTTGGTCTGACTCAACACTAGAACATTAGAAATAAGAATGCCTAAACCCAGATCATGTTATTGGGCTCAAGAGTCAAATGTAAGAATAATATGCAATCAGATGACTTTAGAGTCTGTTAGCCTTACATTCTATTAAAATCCGTAAGTAATTGGATTTTTAACTAAGAAAATGGTGCTAGCACT